CACAATCCTCCCACTAATCCCGGGTGGCTTTTCCAGCACCGAGTCAGGGTTATGTGGATAATCCATATGTTTGCAAGGCAAAGGCTTTGGGATATCCACTGTTAATCCAATTGGCAGTGGCAGTTTGGTGCCATCGGCAGTGTCCTGTAGCGGGGTGGATGTGGCTGCCCCAGCCATGGATCCCTGGAGCTGGGAACTCCCACGGAGCCCTGGTCCTACCCCCCCACAGCTGTGGGACCCAGCTGCCCCCACCCTGCTGAAGGAACCCAGCCAGGGAACATCCACGTGTTTATTTGCTTTTCAAACCACAGCAGCTTCAGCTGTTGCCCGACATATTTGCAGCCTGGAGATCCCCTCCCTGCTCCCCCAGACCTCAGCTGCAGCTCAGAGCTGCTGCTCCTCCTGGGGCAGAGCTCAGCCCACACTGCACCCCCACCCCAACATCCCCTCTCCTCCAGTCCCTGCAGTATTTACAGTCTCTGCATTCCCAGAGCCACAGCATTGGGCAGACCCCCCCTCCCAGTCTGCCCACCCTCAGGCTCACTCACACAGAGCAGTAGTGCAGGATGGGGGGGTGTCACAGGACCCCCAGCACCCACAAATCCCTACATGAGCTAGGGCCTGCTGCCCCACAGCAGCCTCTTCCCCCTGTTAAACCCCTTAATCTAGTCCCCCCCAAAGCCCTTCAGCACCATTTGTCCCTCCCCACCCCCCTACAGATATCCACTTCCAGAGCCGGAATAAAATAACCCCTCGGAAATGTCAGCACCAGTGTTAGAGAGAAAAAGAAAGTCAAAAGTGCTTGGAGCTGCCCAGCCCCACAGCCTGTGGGGGGCAGAGCCCCACCAGCTGCCTGAGCAAGAGCAGCCATGACCCGACCCATGCCAAGGGTCCCACAGACATCTCAGCTGGCTCAGGACCAGCGTGGCCGTGCTGCTCGAGAGCAAAGCCAGCCTCATCCTGCTGTCCCCAGCAGAGAGACCCCAGCATCACAGAGCCCCCTCCCAAAATCAGGGCAGGGGCATGGGGCCCCGGCAAGGCACCGGGGCTCAGTCCTTAAACCTGCGGCCTGCCTGCATCTTCTTGTAGTACAGATCCACCTCGCTGTCCGCCGTCCCGTCCCGCTCGGCCGGCTTCCTCCGCAGCGTGGAGTCGCGGCTGGCTGTGGCCAGTAGCCCCTCAGGGGGGGCCTCCACCCGCTCCCCACCTCCCCCTGCTGCCCCCGGGATGGCGGCCAGGCTGCCGTAGCGTGGCTCGTCCTGCTCCATGTCGCTGATGGAGGAGCCAGGGGAGACGCCGGCGCTCTTGGCTGGGCGGAAGCCATGGAAATCCTTCCCCACCTCACCCAGCTCGTAGGTGTCTGCTCCCTCTGGCCCCTTCGGCCCCGACTTCCACTCCCAGGGCCCATTGCCAGCAGAGAGGTGGACAACAGGGTGGTGAGGGGCATGAGCGTCGATGGTGATGATGCTGGAGCTGTCCCGCTCAGAGGGCGAGCGGTACTGCGAGGAGTCAGAGCTGGTAGAGGACGAGGACGTCTCCGAGTGCTTGGGGGTGACAGAGACAAGGCTCTGCTGCTTGGACATGGCGATGACCTGCATCAGGCGTGGGGGGTTGGCCACCCGCTGCGCTCCCCCCTTCTCCGCCACCATCACCCACTTGGCCCGCACGGCCGCCCCGCTGCCGGCCGCGGCCCCAGCGCCTGCCTGGCTCTCCTCGGGGATGTGCACCAGCTGCGAGGCGCCCGGCCGGGGCTGGATGAGCACGCGGGGCCCCATGGCCACCCGCTCG